AATTTTGAAAGACAAATAATTTGAAATTTAAAAACAAAAATTTAAGAAAAGAGATGGAAGAAATGCTTGAGATAAGCGATAGGGACGTTTTAAGGAGATATGTACCTATTCAAATTATGAGAGAGAAAACAAACTTAGAAATTCAAAAGAAAAATTTAAAGAAAGAGTTAGAAGTGTATAAGATGTCTTTTCAAATTTGAGAGAAAAAACTTAAATTTAAAAAAAAAAATTTAAGGAAAAAGATGAAAGAGGAGCGTGAGATGAGAGATGCGACCGTTGTAAGGAGAGATGCACATTTTCAAATCTTGAGAGAGAAAAAACTTTGTGTTTTAAAAAGAAAAGTCTAAAGAAAAAGAAGAGATAGCTGTGTGAGAAAAGAGAGTTTTAAGATCGGATACACCTTTTCAAATTTAAAAGATAGGCGAGGTGCGTGAAATGAGAGATAGGAGAACTTTAAAAAGAGACGCAGCTTTTCAAATTGTGAGAGAAAACAAAAACTTAGTCATTTAATTTTTTTTTTTTAAGAAAAGAGATGGGAGAGATGTGTGAGATGGGGGAGTTTTAAGGAAGAATTTACCTTTTCAAAATCTGAGAGATACGTGTCATAAAAAGAACTTTCGTTTAATATATATAGTAAATATTTTATTATCCTGAATAATTGAGAAAAGGTTTTGATAAGGATGATGGTGTTTTTTTTTAATATGTTAACTGTATCAAGTGAAAGAGGAGTACAATATACAGAACAATATTGTTTTTGAGGGACATGAAAAGCCTTGGGCCAAGTCCAAAAAATGCTATACAACCTAAAAAAATCAGAATAGGATCCAAAACAAAGTCTTCTATGATATGGCTGGAGGCCAATCAGCCAGATATGACTCCATAAAACCTGAATATGCCTGTAAATGTCAAAGATCTCGTAAAAAAATTGGTAAAAGCCTCAAGGGTGGGCTCATATAAAGCCTTAGGAGATGACATTTTTAGAGCGACTCTCAACAACCAAGAGTGTGCTCCAAGAAGGATTCAAAAGATCTAAGACCTTCCAAAAGTGCTCGGGCTTTGGCCATGGTGGAGTTCGCAAGACCAATGGGGGAGGTGTAGGATGAGAGAGTGACATTGTTGTGGTCACCTAAAAATGCCCCCCTATACCAGCTAGACCCAAATAGATTGATGATGATTATTGTATTATATTATATTTATATGTAGTCTTATTGCTATTTATTATAGGTGTGGTTTGTATAGAGCCTAGGCTCTAAGCTCTAAACAATCAAATTAGAGCCTACCTTCAAATAGTGTCGAGAAATGTGGTTTTAATATTGAAAATATTTGTAATATCCTTAAAATATATTTTTATATTTAATAATAAAGTTTAAAGCTTCAAAAATAGTATAGATCGACAGACCTCTGAAAACTTGAAAACCTTAAAAATTGACGGTCCTAAAACGTGTTACAAAATACATTTTTTTCAAAACTTGAAATCTTGATGTCGAGATGATCGATTAGAAGATATTTGAGCGTCAAAACAACCTCTTCGAGTGAAAATTTTGAGGTAGGCTCAAATTTGATTGTTTAGAGCCTCGGTTCTATATAAACTTTTCCCATTTATTATTACTATTATTATTATTTGTAATAATCATTACTGAAATAGGGAAACCGTTAGGACCCGGGGCTTGATAAGGCGAACACAGCTGACTTAAGCTCATCAAGTGAAACAACTCGTTCCAAAATGGAACTTGACACATCCGAAAGTTTTTTAAAAGGCAATTAGGTCAAAATAGAGGTAAATTTACCTCTTTAGAAAAAACAACCCGAAAATAATCAATGATAGCCTCTTCCCAAGCGGCATTATTATCCGAATCAATACCTGGGATAGCTAAACCTGAGGTATCATTCTGCCTTCTTCTAGCACTCGTAATAGAGTGGAAGAATTTTGTTTTCAAGTCTCCCTCTTTGAGCCATTTCTAAAACTCTCCTAAACTCTCTCATATATATATGTTTTCCCTATTGTATCCTAAAATATATCTCTATCTAGTTTTTCTAAAACATAGAAGAATACCCATTTGAAAGTCACATTTGCCTACTTCTTCGTTAGAGATAAGGTCCCCTTTGTTCTTACGACGAAGTGTTTATCCCTCAATAATGTAGTATAGATATAGCACACATTTGAAAAATATCATAGAAAGCTTGTTTCCAATACATTCAAGCTGAGATATGTCCATATAAGATGTTTTGGACTTCTCTTTTGAAGGATAGTTTTAAATGGTGAGAATTGAACTTTAGATGTCAAGTTGCAGCGGCCACCCCCACCCCCACCAGTGACCACCCCTGCCTAGAGCTTGTTTTCAGGCTCAATGCCCATTTGGGGACCTTACAACTTTCATCTATCTTTTTGTTTTTTTTTTTTGGGGATTCATTTTAGGCCGAGGTGATCATAAATAAATAGAAAAACTAATCAAAATCTTAAAATTTAAAATCTATTATATTGGAAAATTTTCATTCATCGTCTATATATAATAAGAGATTGTATACCATGAGACCAATTTATTTTTTATACAATGCGGTCACAATTGTTTTTAATCATTGGATGTGATATCCAATAGATTGAAGTGTGTCGCAACATTAAAAAATTTTCATAGATTGAAATGTGTCGTAACATTTAATTTTTTTTTATTTTGAACTTTGTGCCCAATTAATGGCGCATAATTAACCTCTTGATTTTACATCCACCGGTTCATAATAAATGGTCTTATTATAATATTATACACGTTTCATATAAGGGTGAAATTTGTATAAGGTGTCAACTTTATACTATTTAAGTAAGATGCACATCAAAACTATGCCGAAAATGTAGTTTTGATAGTGTAAAGCCTTGCGATGATATGAAAGTCTGTTGTGGCCTCCAATTATGACATTTAAAGTTTAAAAAATGGTGACCATCAAGCAGATCTATAAATACTTGAAAATCTTTAAAACAAACGGTCCAGATAATATTATATTAAAAGATGGAACTATTTTTAAGGCTATAAATCTTTCTTTTTTTCATGTTTATGAAATCTCGGCGTTAAAATGTTGGATTTAAGGGTTTTTTGGCATAAACAACGTTATTTTAAGGCTAGAAATCCTTTTTTTTTTTTAATCATGCTTATGAAATCTTGACTTTGAAATGATGAATTTAAGGGTTTTTCGGCATAAGAACAACGTTTTACGTGCACCTTACCTACACAATATATGGTTGCGACCTTATATAAACTTTTTCCTTCATATAATAATGTCCGGTTCACTTTTAGACAAGATCCATCTTAAAAGATGGACCATGGGCTCTTAAGTCCCTCCGACTCACGAAAGCCATCTTTGTGGAAGAGCACAAGTGATGTTGCAGTAAATCTTGGGCTTCAAAATTGCTTGAAAATTGGTCGAGTAATGAGGAGCGATTGAGGTTTGATTTTAGTCTTATAAGGTGTAGATGATGACAGGAAATTGAGATTTTTTCGAATCGCAGTTGATTTGATTGTGGTGAGCCAATAAACTACTCCAGAAACAACTAACTCCTCGAATGGTTTAAATTAAAGGATCAGCAACTGATGTTAGTCCCAAGACCAAGTCTTGAAATCAATTGAGACTTTCCTCTCTCCTTGCATTTCATTTGAGGAAGGGCTAAGGTTTTCCCTCTGTTGTTTGCCTTTCGGGTTTCGCTTGTGTTGCCTAGTAATGAAGAAGATGATGGAATAATTTCGCTTGTGTTGCCTAGTAATGAAGAAGATGATGGAATAATGATGAAGACATTGGAAAGAATGGAGAAATAATGATTGAGATCATGGTATTTGTTGGTTAAATACAAATGGCTCAACTTCCTATGAAATTCGGGTTTTGTACTCAACAGTAACTTGGATGAAACTTGTTATTGTCACGATAGTGTCATTTGTTCGTGCATCAATCTTTATGTCGCTGGTTTGGGCTAGTTCAAGGTACAACAGAAACTATAGGAAGTTTTTTGTGAAATCTTATTTGGCTTTTCGAATGAACCTAATTGTTGGGAAGTTTATTGTGAATGCATTAGTCCCCTCTGGATCTGATGCATTTAGGATCTAAAACACATTCATGCAAATGCATTTTCGTCTTGGATAAAAAACAGTACATATCCGATAATCTGAGAAGAAATCAAATGTACAGTCCAATATAGAGTTTAAAATTCATGTTTTAGAGTTTAAAATTCATGTTTTTCAAATTCCGGATTATAGTGGTCTTAGTTTATCGACCTGTGAAGTCTAGACCCAAAATTCATATCTAAAATATACTTTGGGATGCTTTGGCTGATCCTCTAAATCCCTACCCTCCAATTTTTTTTTTTGTTTTTTTTAAACCAGCAAAACAAATTCTAAATTTAGCTGCAATTATGCTGGGATAACTCAAGAAAGGGTTTAGCTGCAATTATGTTGGGATAACTCAAGAAAAGGTGAGGTTTGAAGTAAGGTGCGCCTCAAAACCATACCAAAAATGCAGTTTCCAAAAATGGTGAAGATCAAGTATATGCTTATCTATAAACGCTAGAAAACCTTAAAAATGGACAGATCAGATGATGATGATGAGTTAGAAGATTGACTATATTTATGATTAAAAATTCTTTCTTTTTTTTCTTTTGGTCTATGAATTTCGAGGTGCAGATGATTGATTGAGAGATTTCCAGCATAGGAACAACCTTCTCGGGCTTTTAGGTGCACCTTACTCGTACATTATAATCGTACATTATAGGGTTGACACATTATATAAACTCTCTCTCAAGAAATGGGAGAACTAAGTATATCAAGACTATTTCCAAGTTCATCAAAGAAATATCAATAAGAGATTATATCTAGTGAGCAAAAACAGCGTTGGCATTAAAGATCCATCTCTCAATGGAGGGTAACATCCTTATGCAAGACCAAGGACTAACTTATGGAGCACAAGTAACAAAGTTCCAAAAAAATAAGAAAATAAAAAATTCAATCATTCAATGAGTTCAAAAGTAGACAAACAAAAAGACTTTATTAGGAATAAGAAAAGAGAGACATTCAATTAAAAAGAGAATGCATTAGATTTAACACATGAGGAAGCGCAGAAGAATATATATCCAGTGATTTCCGATACAACTCCATAAGTTAGCAGGACCCAAAATTGGCAGAAATCAAAATGTAAGAGAGAGTATTAACAGGGATTGGCAGAAATCAAAATGTAAGAGAGAGTATTAACAGGGAAATTAGAGTGGGTTCCCTAAGAATCAAAATTATATCAATCTCCATGGACAAATCAGAGGTCTAGAGTGAGAGTTTACTAGAAATCAAATCAGGAAGAATTTATTGTATCACTCTTCAGAACCAGCCTTCCTTCACCGGCATATCCTGTTGCTTCTGCTTCTTTCTCTTTCTCCTCTCACTCCTCACCATTCTCTCTAGATCATCAACCTTCAGTGAAAGCCTGGTTATCAACCTACTTTGAATAGCACTCTTCTCGCAAAGGTCATAAATCATTTGCTTAAGCTTCTCATTATCATCGACCATCTTCCTCAGTACAAACCCAAATTTCCCTGCTTCTTCTTCACCCCTATGCAATTCCATGGTGTTTTTGGAATGACTTGGAGATTGATCTTTTTCTGGGGTTTCTTCAAAAGCTTCAGAGTCATGGCCTTCTTCCTTTCTTGTCTCAATTTCCATGTTGATCTCTCTCTGGCCTTCTTTTTCTAGGGTTCTATCTATAGAATCATGACAAACATCTTCTTCTTGATCAACATGCTCCCAATCTTGATCCTCTTGTTCCCAATCTCCATGGTAATCCGTACATTCCCATCCTGTCTGGTTGAGGCATTCTTCTTTGGCTTCAGTTCCAGGATCCTCTGCTACCTCCATGGTCTCTAACTTTTCTTCATTACGCTCACCAGAATAACCCTCTTCCTGTTCCTCTCTTTCAAGTTCTTCAACTTCTTGGGGTAATTTGGCTGGCTCCATGGTCTCTATTATTTCTTTGGTCACGCTTTCTAGGGTTTCTTTGGCTGGCTCCATAGTTTCTCGGGTTCTTTTGGTCGGCTCCATAGTTTCTAGGGTTTTTTTGGTCGGCTCCATTGTTTCTAGGGTTTCTTTGTTTACTTTCATGGTTGCTACGGTTTCTTCATCAGAATCACCACAAACACAGTCCCCTACAACCTGACCATGACATTCTTCTGAAACTTCCTCAACCTTCAGAGGTTCATTCTTCATATTGCAATTCATAGCTTGCTCCTCTGTAACAGGTGCCTCAGGAGCTTGATCAAGACTTGGTTTCTGAGAAGAAATCTCATCAACCATCTCCTGAAGCTTGACAACCTCTCGAATCACACCTTTGCGACACTCTCGAACAGCCAAATTCACACTAGGGATCGAATCCAGTCGAAAAAGCAGAGACATGAGAGTCTCATACATCCTCAATCTCTCTCTCTCATGACTTCTAATTAAGGCCTGAGTTTCAGGTTCAAGAACCAGGCGTCCAAGCAGAACAGCCTCTGCTTTCACCTTTCTGATCAATTTCACACACTTTCTCACTCTAAACCCCCTAAACACTCTCTGAATTTTGAGAGCAGAATCAGACTGGGCACACTCTGAACTCACAAACTGTACAGGGATCGAAACTACCTTACGAGGACGCTCCGGCTTGGGTTGTTGGCGAGGCGAGGTCTGTGGTTTAGTTTGACCTGGAACTGCTCGGCTTTTTCGCGCAAGGTAGTTACGGCTGGCATTGCCCCAATGCCTATCGAAGAAGGCCCTCTCCATGGCTAGAACTTGCAGGTATCGTAAACTCGAATGTTTGGCCGGCCGGAAGACTGATTGAAAAATCGTAGAACTTGCAGGTATCGGAAACTCGTATGTATGGCCGGAACTGATCGGAAAATCGGTCGGAAAACACAGGTATAGACGAGAAACCGATCGGGAAAAGTCTCACGTGGACGGAAAAGAGCTTATAGACGAGATTAAAAGCCCTAGACTTCGCTTTAATAGGTTGGTGATGAAAATGAAAGACGGGGCTGTTTATAGGAAGAGAGGAAGTTTATCGATTCCAGGGTTTTCTAGAAGAGAAGAGGAGAGAAGAGAGAGAGAGAGAGAGAGAGAGAGAGTAGAGAGTTTTCCAGAAAGTTACAGAGAGAGCGAGAGCGAGAGCGGCGGGAGAAAGTTCGGCGCCAAGCGTGCGTTATTTGCTTGCGGGTGAAATTCGACGAAAGTTTCGGGATTCTCCGAAAATGCAAAACAAGGACCGGTTCTCTAGAGGGCGACACCGGGCATTTTTTTTTCTTCAAAAGATCTTCGACCATTTTTTAAGGAAATTTACCAAAAATATCTTTAAAAGATGAATTATATAACATTGGGTCCGGTTCGTATACAGTTGAGGCCCTAAACGATTAAAATAGAGCGCACCTAAAAATGCGGTTTCAATATTGAAAATATTTGTGATAGCCTTAAAATATGTTTTTAAATCTAATTATAAAATTTAAAACTTTTAAAAGAGCGTCGATCTAGTATATCTATGAAAACTTGAAAATTGATCGGCCAAATATTCATTGCAAGATACACTATTTCTAAACTTGAAATCCAATTTTTTCTATGTCCATGTATATTGATGTTGAGATAATCAATTCGAGGATATTTGAGCATCAAAACAACTTTTTCTAGTAAAATTTTTGACGTGGGCTCTAATTTGATTGTTTAAAGCCTTGGTTCTATATAAATTTTTCCCATCTACAAAAGATGAATTATATAATGTTTTAAAAGATGAATTATATAATGTTTTACTGTCTTTTGATGTAATTTTAAAGGGTGTGCGGTTTGTATAGTTTTATACAATCAAAACAAACCACACCTTCAAATAGTATCGAGAAATGTGGTTTCAATACTGGAAATTTTTGTGATAGCTTTAAAATATATTTTCATTTTTAATTATAAAATTTAAAGCTTAAAAAATAGTGTAGATCGAGCAGATCTATAAAAACTTGAAAATCTTGAAAATTGACAATCCAAAAAATACATTATAATATACACTATTTCCAAAACTTGAAGTCCATTTTTTTTAGTGAAAAAAATTGTAATGATCCTAAAATTTCAAAAAAAAAACTCTTAATAACTGATGGTCCATATGTGCATGATGGTCCTTAGGGACCATCACTATTTTCAAAAGCTTTTGGTTTAAGTTTTTGGCTGCCTTGCCACGTCATTTAGTGGACGTGGGCTTTAAACATTTAGGTGTAATATAATTGCTACACCTCATGTATGAGGTGTAACTTAATAAAATAAAATAATAAGGTGTCTTAATAATTTAAATAAGAGAGGCGAGGATTCTCACCTTAGAAAATTTTTGAGATCTTTCTCTCTCTAGTTGAAACACAATGAGCTCCTCCTTCTAGCCGAATTTTTATCGGAAGCTCCTTTTCAAATATTTTAGGTAAGTAACTTCATTATCTTGAAAAATAATCCGTTCTTTTTAAAAATAAAATGAAATAGTTATTTCTGCTTATTATCATGAATTTTAGGGACGATAAATTTTATGCGCGATAAATTTTATGCGCAAGCAACCTCATTATTTTGAAAAATAATCTTTTAATAAAAGTGTGATATTTTATCCATGTTAGAAATTTTAAATGCTGTAAATTCTTAGAAATAAATTTATTTTCTTGTCTAGTTTTAGAGAATTTTAGCTACTGTAAAATTATTAGAAATAAATATGATATTTTTGCTTTTAGTAAAATTGTGAGATTTCTTTCGACTGTTTTTGAATATTTAGACGTCTTAAATTTCATGTGCAAATGACTGCCTTATTATTTGAAAATTTATACTTTTGCATTTGATTATAACATTGTCTGTGAAATGTTTATTTGCAAATTGACATCTCATAAATTGTGATAATTCCGTATTCTTGAATTTCTATAAGAGTTTTTTTATACATATTAGATTGGCAATTGTGCTAAAATGTCTTTACGAACTGCTACCTTTCTAAATTTGAGCCCAAAATATTTGACTGGTTATTTTTGAGATGTTATTGAAAGTGATTGTTATTAATGGTTTCAGTGAAATTCATATTAATAATTTCAGTGATATGGTGAGTACATGATATTGTTGTTTTCGAATGTTTAAAGAGATTTAGAAATACTTTAAGTATGCAAGTGGGCTTATCCGGTTCGCCGGTGAGGTATAAGTGGACCTATGCGGTACGCCGGTAGGGATTAAGTGGTCCGTTGGTGAGGTATAAGTGGACCTACAGGGATTAAGTGAACCTATTTGAGACGCCGATAGGGATTAAGTGGAGCCATCAGAACGTTGATGGGGTATATAGGTGACCTACTTGGGACGCCAGTAGGGTATTTTGTGAAATCTTTTGAATTATGCACTGCAGTTAAAATGTTATACGCATTTTAATTATTCGAATTATACTTAATTATGCATTTCTGAAAGTGAAACTGTTGATGCATTTCGGTTAATAGATCTCCTTTTTGAAAATATTGATATCTTTCAACTGTAATTATTTTTAGGATTATGATGATCACTTACTGAGTAGCCAAACTTATCAAATTATGGTAAACATTTTTTTCAAAATAACTGCGGTTTCATTTTGAGTGCTCATCAGGATCAACTCTGGAAGATATTGTAGTTGTACTTAAACTTCATTTTATTATTTTGTAAGAATTAGCCACTGTAAATTTGTCCTATCAAGAGATGTATTTATGTTTTGACTGTCACATCTCAGGAATATGAGTATTGTAAACTCTTGGGGCATGACAATTATGGTATCAGAGCAATAGGTTTAAGATTCTTAGGAAATTTAAAAAGAATGTACTTAAAATCACATTTATTGCGTGTATAGATAGGGACGAAGTCAAGATCCAGAGTAGCTGAAGTTAATATAGAAGGAATTCACAAAGCCTTGGAAAATTATGGTTGCTCTAATGCAACATCAGATGGAAAACAACAATTCACCCATGCAGTCAGTTACGGGAAATGGTGGGAGTAATATCGAACAATTTAAGAAATTGAACCCACCTTCTTTTAAGGGTGCTGTAAACCCACTGGACGCCAAGGGATGGATTATGCAATTGGAGAAAATATTCGAGGTAATGGAATGTCCTGATGATAGGAAGGTAGCCTTGGCAGTTTTTATGTTAGAAGGTGAAGCACAACATTGGTGGCGAATGATAAAAGGAGTATTGGTCAAAGAAAATAAACCCTTGACTTGGGAAATATTTATAGAGGCATTTAATGAAAAGTATTTCCCAGATTTTATTTGAGACAAAAAAGAAATAGAATTTATGGAATTAATCCAAGGAAACCGGACAGTAGCACAGTACGAGTCCAAGTTTACTGAATTGGCCAGGTTTGTACTACATATGATTAACAATGAGGCAAGAAAGGTGAAAAAATTTGAAAGGGGTCTCAGACCAGCTATTAGAAGCATAATATCAGTCTTAAAATTGATAACTTATGCTGAAATAGTAGATTGAGCCCAAATTGTCGAAAAAGATTTCGAAGATTACCAAAAGATGAAAAATCAGAAAAGTTAGGTTAGACCCACACCATCTAATCGACAACAGCTTGAAAGGGCAAACAAGAAGCCAAGGCTCTTGCCACTTCAAAGCTCAATAAAACCATGTAAAAAATGTGAGAAAAACCATGGATCGAACCCTTGTTATTGGAATACTGGAGCTTGTTTTAAATGTGAAAAATTGGGGCACCAGATTAGAGAATGTCCTAGCTTACAGATGCAACAGCTTCTAAAGCAGGGAGAGATAACTCAAAAGCCTTAGATGAAGGGAAGAGTATTTGCGATCACCCAGCAAGATGCTCAAGCCTCAAAATCAGTGATCCAAAGTACTCTTATTATCTTCCAAAAAGTAGCTCATGTTTTGATTGATCCTGGATCTACTCATTCATTTATGTCACCACACTTTGCATGCCACTTAAAGATAGAACTATAACAATTAGAATACATTCTAGAGGTAGCCATACCGATGGAAAATTCAAGTGACATCAATATAGTGTACAAATCATGTGTAATAAAGATAGACGAAAAGAAAATAAAGATAGAAGAAAAGGAACTGTACTCTTAGAAATTCAAGATTTTGATGTAATCTTAGGCATGAAATGACTTTCTACATACCATGCAAGTATTGATTGTTGCAAGAAAATGGTTACCTTTAATATTCCGAATCAACAAGTATTTTACTTCAATGGTATCAAAGAAGACTCCCAATCATATTTAATCTCCTGTATTCGAGCTAATCGCCTCTTTCGAAAAGGGTGTCAAGGCTTTCTTGCCTATATCAAAGAAGATAGGAAGGAAGAGATAAATTTGGATATCACTTCGGTTATTCGAGAATTTCTTGATGTTTTCCCTGAAAAATTGCCAAGATTACCGCCTGACAGGGAAATTGAATTCTCTATTGAATTATTGCCAGGGGTAGCCCCAATTTCTAAGACACCTTACAGAATGACACCTGCAGAACTTAAGGAACTTAAACAATAATTGGAAGAATTATTAGATAAAGGTTTTATCAGGCTCAGTGTGTCACCTTGAGGTACTCCGGTATTGTTTGTTAAAAAGAAAGATGGGACCATGAGATTGTGTATCGATTATAGACAGTTGAACCAAGTGACAGTGAAAAATAAGTATCCATTACCTAGAATTGATAATTTATTTGATCAATTACAAGGATCACAAGTGTTTTAAAAAATTGATCGTAGATCTGGATACCATCAGCTTAAGATTAAAAGTGAAGATGTTCTCAAGACAGCTTTTAGAATAAGGTATGACCATTATGAATTTTTAGTCATGCCTTTTGGATTAACCAATGTACCGGCTGCATTTATGGATTTGATGAATCGGGTCTTTAAACCCTTTTTGGATAAATTTATTGTGGTATTCATCGATGATATTTTAATTTATTCCAAGAATTAGAAGGAACATGAGCAACATGTTAGAATGGTATTGTAAATATTAAGAGAAAAGAAATTGTATGTCAAACTTAGTAAATGTGAATTTTGGCTTGAACAAGTGACATTTTTAGGACATGTCATATCAAAGGAAGGTCTATCAGTTGATCCTTCAAAGGTTGAAACCGTTGTTAATTGGAAACAACCAAGTAATGTAACTGAAGTTCGAAGCTTTTTAGGATTAAAAGGATATTACAGAAAATTTGTAGAAGGATTTTCTCG